ATCACTCTAAGTTTGTTTTGCCAGTATGGAATAGTTTTCCACTCTGAGATCCCTGTTAAAAAGCACAGACTTTACAGTGCTTCCAGACCTTTAAAGCAACCATCTTTAGGGTATCACATTAAGTATCCTTTCTACATGTAGTCTGATGATCATACCTTCATTCTGTGTCGCTGCTCTTCCTTCAGTTTCTCTTGACGCCCGATGCTCTCTTTAGTTCTACAGTGCAGAAAGTGGAAGAGTTTTGATCACACGTAACAATTTAGAAATGTTCCAACATCATTAAGACTTGCATCCTTGCCGGTGCTTCTTACTCTCTGTCCATCATGTCCCTCATGCTCTGGTACTCCTGCCTCTGCTTCAGCTCCATGAACTCCTCGAAACGTTTCAGCTGCTCCGACTCGGAGTTTGCCACCGCCGCCACCAGCTTCTCCTGCATTTCCAGCCGCAGTTTGAGCGCCACCTGAGCCGACAGATTTCAGACATCAACTAGGTGAGACTGATACAGGCAGCATTTTATCACACAACCGTTAAGTTGTTCTTATGGGATAATTAAACATTTTCTTTTATTGTTAATTCTTATTTTCTATGACTTACAATACTTTTTCTTTCACCCTCTTTATTGCGAAAGTTATGCACCAAAATACGAAGGCATTCTTGTTAGTTGAAAATCTACTGGGATTCTGATTAAGAGTCATTGTGTCTGACCTTGGCCTTTTCACGCTGCTCATCCTCAAATTTGATAATGAGACCAGCCGTCTCCATGGCTTTGGGTGACAGCAGGGAGATGGTAGGTAGTGATGCAGGACTGGAAACTTCGCTGACACCTGCCTCTGGATCTTCATCCTTCGTGTTATCACTAACAGCCTGCAGCACATAAACGTGAGGAAAAGATTAAGTCACACATTCAGACATGTAGATCCATTCAGAGCTCCAACAGAGTCACAGAAAGTAATACAAAGTGTGCAGCTGTTCTTGTTTTATAGGGATGAAAGCATTAAACCAGCTCCACAGATTATTTAAATATCCAATTGAAAACAAACAAACAAAACACAGGGAATCTGCTGGTTATAATAGTCACCAACAATAATGCACAATTATATCAACAACTTGTCTGTTTCAGTAATATCCTTGCAAACTCAAACTTGTTTGTTGCCACGTATCATGATGACTTTCTGAAACCAACTTTTTGTTATACATATACTGTATATCTACTCCCTGGAAGCAAACACCCAAATACCACTAAGCTCAAAAAAAACCCTGTCAAATGACACAAAAGTTACTATGTGGACACTTCCTTCAATCCAATAGAAGTGTACAGACTCTGACACACTTCTTTCTCACATAGTAAAAACACTGAAAGATCAGCATGTACTCTAGAAAAGAGACTTTCCTGGTCACTCTCGGTCCTTAAAGGCGGGGATGCAGAAAGTGCGGCTTGCTTAGCGTTGAGGTCAGGGATGGATCCTGTGGATGAAACTGAGGCCGAGATCTCCTCAGGGCTGGAGTTTCCGGAGATGGAGCCCAGAAAGCTGGAGGTCTGCAGGGGCAAGGAGCCGAGACGCTCCAATATGATCCCAGAATGCGAGGACAAGCTGAAGGTCTCTTTACAACCAGTCAAAATATGCTGCAAGAAGACAGAACCATCATCGAGTGTGTTTAAATGCACCAGAAAGGTGTAGAGGGGGAAAAAAGCAATTTATAAACAACATGTCCCTTTGAAATGTAGTGGAGTATAAAGTAGCATAAAATGGAAATACTCATGTGCTTGAGCAAATATACCTGATCAGCAGTGGTGGAAGAAGTACTCAGATCCTTTACTCAAGTAAAAGTACCAACACAGCAATCTAAATTCAAAATCCTACTTAAGTAAATAAGTATTATCAGCAAAATGTACTTAAAAGTATCAAAAGTCAAAGTATGCCAAGACTGATGCATCAATAGATAACTGTTGTAGCTAGTTAATGCTAGTTTTAACTACTTTATTTACAGTTACTAGTTTTGTCCAGTGGTTCCCAACCACTCTTAATGGTCACAATATAAATCTGTGGGGTCACAGGCCAAAAAACTTTAGCATAATATTTAAAACGCATCTCATTTGTTTTCTATCTGAAATCTTAATCTAAAAAGTAACTATTAACGAAACCAATATTTTAATCTAAAATGCAGTGGATGAGAAGTATAAAGTGACATAAAGGGAAATAATAAACGAGATATGTTACAAGTAACGTTACAGCCCTTAAAAAGATGTCACTGCTGGGAAGACCAGCACATATTTGTCCACTCATTCACCAAACAGCTCGTAGCCTGTTAAACTCAGTGGAAGACTAAGTTGCTTCATCCAGCTTAATACTATTAAGTTAGGTTAGCAAACAATTTGCTAAATACGTTGCCTAACTAAAGACTTGGTGATTTAGCAAACTGTGGTGGGACTATCCTCATTGCAGATCGTCCTGGTAGAGCTAAATGGTAGAAAAGTCACTCTAATAAATTAATTCGTTAAATTATCTAGCTAGCTAAACAGGCAGAGACAGCTTGGCTAACTAGCCATTCGTTAGCTAATGTCGGAGTTCGCTGGCGTCAACTCACCTCGCCCCTTTCTGACCAGTACGGGTCGAATGAGATTTTTGCCTTTGGTGAATTTTTTAAGGCCTCTAAAGTTGCCCATCGTAGGTTTTCAGCAGGCATGACGACAGAGCGGTAAACAAAACCCAAACTACTTGATAGCGTTTGGCGAAGTTTTGAACCGCCGGATGAGGTTACATAAATTACAATCCGACGACAAACAGCCCGCCTACAACCGAGACGCTCTTCCGGTTGGGCCATAACCCTTATAATATGTTGTTATTGATCTAATAAAATAGCATTGCACACGACAAAACCTTAAATGCAATAAAATATTTATTTTACTATTGTATTTCCAGTCCTTCTAGCGGTCCCTGTTTTTTTTAAAGCTGTCAGTCCATTATTTGTTTGCTTTCAGATACCTCTCACACCAAAACCTCTCAAACACTGACAAAACTGCAAAATCAGAATCAGAATAAGCTTTATTGCCAGGTATGTGTACACATACGAGGAATTTGACTCTGGATTGTACATTGCTCACGATGTGCTTACTCATATAAAATACAAAATCACAATAATAAAAATCAGACACAGACTTCAGTGTATACACACTATGAACAAAAACAGACATCACTGCAGATCAGTGTGAGATGGATCTCAGTGATGTTTCCTGCCCATTTCCTGACTCTGGAAAAGTCCTGAATGGAGGGCAGGTTGGCACAAATATCTTTTCTGCAGTCCTGACTGTCCATTGTAGTCTGCTCCTGTCCAGTTTGGTGGCAGATCCAAACAGACAGTGATGGAGGTGCAGAGGACAGACTGGATGATGGCTGTGTAAAAGTGGATCAACAGCTCCTTAGGCAGGTTGAGCTTCCTGAGCTGGCGCAGGAAGTACATCCTCTGCTGGGCCTTCTTGATGATGGTGTCAGTGTTGGGCTCCCACTTCAGGTCCTGGGAAATAGTGGTTCCGAGAAATCTAAAGGATTCCACAGCAAACACAGGGCTGTTGAGTATGGTGATGAGGGGCAGAGTGGGGGGGGGCTCCTCCTGGAGTCCACGGTCATCCCTATAGTTTTGAGTCCACAGTGTGTTAAGCTCCAGGTTGTTCTGACCACACCAGAGAGCCAGCTGATCAACCTCCCGTCTGTAGGCCGACTTGTCACAGTCTCGGATGAGGCCGATGACTGTTGTCAGCAAACTTCAGGATTTGACAGATGCGTCTCCTGAGGTGCAGACGTTGGTGTAGAGGGAGAAGAGCAGTGGGGAGAGCACACACCCCTGGGGGGCGCCAGTGCTAATAGTCCGGGTGCTGGATGTGATGTTCCCCAGCCTCACCTGCTGTCTCCTGTCAGTCAGGAAGTTTGTGATCCACTGACAGGTGGAGGCTGGCACAGTGAGCTGGGTGAGTTTGGTGCTGAGGATGTCCGGGATGATGGTGTTGAACCGAGCTGAAGTCCACAAACAGGATCCTTGCATATGTCCCAGGAGAGTCGAGGTGTTGTAGGATGTGATACAGTCCCAAATTGACTGCATTATCCAGACCTGTAGGCAAACTGCAAGGGGTCCAGCAGCGGGCCTGTAATGTCCTTCAAGTGGGCCAGCACCAGTCTTTCAAAGGATTTCATGACTACAGATGTCAGGGCGACAGGCCTGTAGTCATGTAGTCCAGAGATGGAGGGGTTTTTGGGGACCGGGATGATTGTGGAGCGTTTGAAGCAGGAGGGAACTTCACATAGCTCCAGTGATCTGTTGAAGGTCTGTGTGAAGATGGGGGCCAGCTGGTCTGCACAGATTTTCATGCAGTGTTGGAGTGGGGGGAGAGGTGACTGTGGGCTTTTCAAACCTACAATAAAAGCCATTCAACTTGTCTGCCATTGTTGAATACTAGCAGAGTTGGGGGATGGTCTCCTGTAGTTGGTGAGTGTCCACAGGCCTCTCCACTGATGCAGGATCGTTGGCTGCAAAGCTGTTATTTAGCTTTTCCGTGTAGCATCTCTTTGCTGCTTTGACTTCTTAAGTCAGCGTTCCTGGCCTGGTTGTACAGGACTCTGTTCCCACTTCTGAAGGCCTCCTCCTTGGTCTGTGAACCAGGGTTTTTGGTTGTTGTATGTGCGGAAGGTTTTAGTCGGCACACACGTCCTCACAAAAACTGATGTAAGATGTCACAGTGTCACAATTTAAATTTAAAAGCAATATTTGCATTTCATTACTGTATTATTGTGTTATTGTATAAGTAAGCACATCGTGAGCATTGCGCAATTCAGAGTCAAATTCCTCCTATGTGTTCACATACCTGGCAATTAAGCTGATTCTGACTGAGAAAGAATATTTTGAATCATTAAGTTCTGGCATAAGTAAAACAAAAATTATTATCTTTTTTGGACGATAGATAGTTATTTATTCAAAAGAATATAAATACATTTCAGGCAACTAAAATATAAGAATTTCCTTTAAAAAGTTGTTTATTAATTTCATAGATAGCATATAAAACTCTCAGGTCAGAAGTAGTAGTGAATAAATGTCATTTAGGTCTACTACAATGCTTTGGGAATGGATGAATGCTGGTCAGGTTGGAGGATTTTGCAGTCAGCTTGCAAGCAAAGAGTCACCAAACACGTTTCCATATGAGGTTTTGAGAAAATTAACATAGTTGTGCAGGCTGCGGTTTGTAGAGTCTGACTGCTCCAGTCTGTCCTTCATGTTCTGCAGCTGACTCTGGAAACGACGCTCCATCTAAAGAAAAACAAAACAATGCTTTTTAAAAGAATCTTGATTTCCACTGTTACATTGCACAGCAGTTATAGTATGAGAACTAGTGAAAGACCAATTAATCCTGCCGATATCTGACATTTTGAGATGATGGGAATCGGCCTGCACTCATGAGGCCACAACATATCTGCGTCACAAGGGGGGCACTAACATCATTGGACAGCTCCCCCTTTGTGAGTTTTGAGAAGATGGTGAAAAAGTTAGTTTCTGAGTCACCATTGTCTTTCCAGGGCGGCGGTGCAGTGGTTGGCACTGTCGCCCCACGGCAAGGAGGTCGTGGGTTCAAACCCCGGTTGCCCTGGCCTTTCTGTGTGGAGTTTCCTCCCACCATCCAAAGACATGCAGGCTAGGTTAATTGGTGTCTCTAAAATTAGGTGTGAATGTGAGTGTCTATGTGTGGCTGGGATTGGCTCCCGTGACCCTGTACGCAGGATGAGCACGATGGTACCATTGTCTTTCCTAAGTGTTACATGTTTCTCCCATCCTAAATGACAGCTAATCGAATCTAAAACCATTACTGGCATTTAAAATGTAGAAAATAATCCAGTTACTGTACCCCACTCACAAGTGTTTCATTTCATTAATTAATAAAAATGACATCTACTAATGACATTGTACTTTGCACGACTTTTCTATGTATTGATATCAGCATCATATATTGGCAGTAGGCCGACCTACTATCTAAATATCAGCATCAGCCACTGAAAACCCATATCACACCATGTGGAATCCATGGACATCCTAATGTACCTCCTCCTTGCTTCGCTGTAGCTGACTCTGCTCTGTTTTGGCTCGGCTCAGCTGGCTCTGCAGGTCCAAGGCTTTAGACTGAGACACTCTCTCTTTGGCTAAAACCCTCTGCATGCTGTTGTCCACCTGTAGGACAGAAAGAAAAAAAAAATTCCTCACTATGTTAACATGGACTGCAATATTCCAGTATTAACCCATAAATAAAACACTAAAATTGTTTATCATTATTCTACTTTTAGATTCATGATTGAGGAGCACTGTAGACATGTAAACACATCAAACCAAACAAATGTTAATTATTGGGGGTTTTGAGGCCTACACATTTCTTGTAGCTATAAAAAGTTAATGAAAAAGTTAAGAGATATCTTGTTTCAACTCCACTGAAACAATACAAGCAGCAAAGAAGTCCAGACTTGTGTAAACTGAGTGTTTCTCAGCACCAGTGTAAAGGTTGTTATGTGATGTTTTGTTCTGAGGACACTGATGGACACGTAAAAGATGTGACCCTATAGACCTGTATCTGAGCGTCGTCCAGAGTTTGTTGAAGCTGCCTGGACAGGACGCTGCACTCGAGGGTCTTCTCCTCCAGCTGCTGCTGAATGCTGCGGACACTGGCATCCTTCAAGGAGAGAGCCTGACACATCTCTTTGTTTTCTATCTTCATGTCCTCAAGCCGCCTACGCATGGAAATAATTTCTGTCACAAAGTGTTTTGTTATGTCGGCAAGCATTGTGTACAAGTGATACTTTCAACTTGGATGGATATATTAATTTTTATAGCGTCTGCACCGCTCTAAGTTGTGAATTTTCTCTTTGAGAACGTTGTTCTCCTCGTGCAGCAGCAGGTTCCTCTGCTGAAACGTCTCCAGCTGAGTGCCTTGCTGTTCCATCTGGGGAGGAACACAATTAACATGCAATCACTGGCCATATAACAGCAGTCCAGCCAGGAAGCTTATTGTACGTTATCCCCCTTTTCTCTCCCCTCAATTTCTCTCACCTTGTTGCTGCCTGCTTTCAAATAAATACCCAAAAAATATTTAAAAACAAAAGAAGAAACCCACTTCCATGCATTCATCCTGCATTATTACTGCCAATAGTTCTGTCTAGTCAAACTAAATTAGGTAGCTTGCAAGACTGTTTCTTGCAGCAGAAGACAGCTGAGAAGAAAGAGACTACATTAATTTTCTTTCCTCCTCTTAGAAAAGTGGAAAAAACTACTAGACACATTTCTTTTTTAATCATTGTACATCATTGTTCCATTTCCTTATTAATGGGATCAATTCTTTCATATTAAAAAACAAATGAAAGCTTTTATTTAACTTGAAGCAAAGTTCCCCTTCACT